TTATCCTATTAAGCAGCAATTGAAGACATATTGAACTCTTTCTCAGAATTTCCAGTGAAAAAACGTAGTTGGGTGTATGTAATATGGTATTAACTAACCTCATTGTCTTGGAAATGGCGAACAAAATTTTCAAATGAGATTGTACTCTGTGTGTCCAGCCCAAGCCTAGAGAAATATACACCATAAAATTAATGATACACACCTACCAGTACATCAGTATGATGTAAATATAATATACAGGAAACTCTGTCTGTGTGGTATTTAATATGCACATGTTGGTAGTATTGCAAATTAAACCAGTGGCCCCTGCCAACAAGTGAGATTTCTGATACAAACTAACCAGTGCATACATACCATACAGTCAGCCTTTCTTGGTGTATTATGTTTATAATATACATAGGGAGATTAATTTCTTTTTCACGGACAATTATTAATTTTGTTAAACAGGTTCAAGTCAAAGGCTCAATATATATGTCTGGAGGAGATGCTTTAGCTGGCTGTATAGTGCTCAATACGTAAAGTAGAGCATAAATAGAAATGGAAAAATTAACAACAAAACAAAGTTTCGGTGGAAACACGGAAACTTTGTTTCGATGTTGATTTTCTATTTCTATATATAGATATAAAATTATATATATATTTTAAGCCAAATTTGCCTTTTGCTTATTTGCCAGACTCTCACCAAGGAGTGGGTGGATCCAGTGTTCAGACCACCTTCTCATTTCAACTACCTTGCAAACCTACCAGCTAACAGATTGCGTCAAAGACAAAGAGAAATTGCGATGGAACAGGAGCATGCACTGCGCAAACAAGGACAGAAGAAAGCTCCACCAAAATTCTTCTCTGCTCTGGAAGTTTTCCCTCAGCTTAAAAGAAGAGTTCAACAGGGGTAGGACTGTCTCCATGTGCTTGTATTGGGTCCAGAACTATTTAATTTGTTTTGTATTGTAATTCTGACATGTAGAATTTTTGTACCTGTTGCATGGATTGAAAGTCTTTTCAAAAGTTCTGTCACCAATATACTGTGTTTGACAGATAAATTAGAAAATCATATCACTAAAAGTATTGACTACCAGCCAGCTCCAAAGAATGAAGTTTGAGGCTCTTGCACTCCTTTACCTTAAATCTGCTCTTTGTTGGCATTCTTGAAAAGTGCAGCTGTAGTGTGGCCAATTCAGTGGCAGCTGATTCAAGGACATTTAGTGCTCTATTCTATCAAATTATTTTCATCTATTAGAACATCTTTGGATTAAAATTGCTCCAAAATTGTTTAGTTTACCACAAGTAAATGAACAAACACACAGAACTGGCTAAGTTTATTAGATCCCCTAGAATATAAGGCACTGAACTTGTACTTCTTTTAAACTAAGGGTTAGATGTATCTTCTCAAGTCTTTCTTTTTCTAGTCATTAATGCGACCATCCCTCAGGTAGTTTCCAACCAGTTATTTTTTTTAATCAAATTTACTGTTTCTGGGGTTGGGTAAACACACTACATATTTTCATGTTTTATATCACTTTAGGCATTAAAGTGAATACATTATGAACATTAGCTATCAAACATTTTTTCAGGACACTTTCTTATACAAAATTGCTTCCCCCATCTTGTTTTGATGCTGATGGCATGGTCCTTAAGCCCCAGTTAAGGACTGCCCTACACGTGTTAGGTTATCAAATGTACGAGGAGGAATTTGAGAAAGTTTGGGACAGGTTAGTGCTATTCCTCAGCCAGTGGTGCAGTCATTTGTGTACATTGTCAGTACGTTCTATAATGTGGCTTTGATAAGGAAGTTGAAATGGGGAGAGGGTAGAGGCAAATATTATTTCTTCTCCTTTGCTGTTTTTTTCTCCTCACTTTTCATTTGATATTTAATATTAATTTTATTTTTTTACATTCAATGTTTCTCGTCACACAGGTTTGACAAGACAGGCCTTGGAGCAGTGAATACAGTGGTTTTCCTCAAAACGCTGGGAATAAATCCTCTCCTTGGTAAAATATAATAATTTTGTAGGTGTACATATCGTTGCTACTGTGAAGGTGAAAGAAAAACGAAAAAAACTGTGGTGACCGTATTTCATGATTATTATGTTAGAGCATCTCAAGAGGGCGAAGCAAATTCCCACCGATAAACCTGTTGATGAAGATAAAGAAAAGGTCCCCAGTGAAAAAGAACATGATGTTGAAGAAGAAACTAGACTTCTTTCTAGGCAAGCAGAAGCTAACAAAGACCTGCCCCAGGAGGAAAAGAGTGCTTCTGCAGGACAGGATCGTATTCTGAGATTGTTTGCTGAAAAGGTAAGATGAAAACGAGTTAAATTTTTCTTCACTTTGCACTTAGGTCACCTCCAATAGCACCACTTTACAATTCATTTATCCTGAAAATTTAACCTTCTAGTTACTGTTTTTCTGCAGTAGCTCGTCACTTGCAAATCCTTTTCTTTTCTCTTTTCCATCCCTGAACCTTCTATCAGATTGAATTTTGACCGCCGAACTCAGGTCACCAATTTGACAATCAGCGTTTGGCGGTTGTGTGGCAAGCTGTTACGTTTTCATTAATGTTTTTAAAGTGAGATAAACTTATGTAAGTTTGCACAAAATGTACTCCTCCCTTGTTATTTTGGCGACCATTTTATGATATTGTTCAGCACGTTTACCTCTCATACACCTTGCACTGCAGTTAAGATTGTTATACACCAAAGAAAATCCCTGTGTTGCTTACTGAAAGAGATACCGATATCTAATCTCAAGTCGTTATAGGTAAAGATTGAATCGATATCTAAGTCAACCCGTTATGAGTACTCCAGCTCCCATAGAAGTAAACTTTGATGGGCGCACCTCTGAGTGAGAATGAATGGCATTACCCTCCCCACCCCAGCGTAAAAGCCAGAAGAGGACTGTTAAAGCCTACTAATAAACTAAGTGGATATCCGGGCATAACAACACGTGAACCCCCCTCACCCAACATTATAAAAGCCTACCAACATACTAAGAGGATCTCCGGACAAAACCACATCTAGGAGGTTTTGGAATACCGAAAGGTCATAGGCTTTTATTTATTTATTTATTTTTTTGAGATTACACCTTTTTTTTTTTCATCATACTTGTGCTTCAAACCAAAACGTCCTAAAAGTGTAGTGGTATGAATTTGGGTAAAAATCCGGTGGAATCAGTAGTAGGAGGAAAACCTTTGCCAGAAATGTTGTTATTTCGATACAAATGATGAAAATAACTTAAAAGTGATATTTAATACGACTGAATCTTACAGTTTAAAGAAGGCTACACCCAAGTAGTGAATTCATTCGGGAAGTATGATCCTCAGGATACTGGACAGGTACCGTACGGTGAATTAATCTATGGCTTTTTTACGTTGTTGTAATATCAGAGAAACGTCATCTTTAATACTAAATCTTTGTGAGTTACATGTACGAAAAAACTCTGGAAACTCGTTTCCTAACGGCAGATGACAAGCAAAATGACTTGTTAATTGTGAAGTGAAGTGGACGTGAAATCCTTCCCACTGCACTTGAGTTTGTGTCGTGCGGCGTTTGAATTTCACGTCTGCTCAGTGCGTTCGTGTGTTTATCTTAAAATCAAACGTAATAGTCTCTGACCTTTTTAACGAACTTTTATGTTGTTACCTCAGATAAGCAAGGCAGATTTTCGAAAAGCCCTGTCTGAATACCGCTTGCAGCTTGGGCCGGTTGAAACTGAACATTTTCTCCAAAGGTAAGGAATGATTCCACCTTTTTTGACAAGGGTACGTTTTATGGTACAAATTGAGATGTTCTCGTCGATGTGTAGAAAAATTTCGCCAGGTTCAACATGGTAGAAGATGAAACTACCCAATCCCCAAAAAGGTTAAAACTTTTCAATGTAAATAAGATCTTCACAAGATTCAGTTTGGTCATCTAACCAAAGATTCTCACCGTTCCCAAAGAGACGTAGCAACGGGCGGTCCTTCTTTTTTACCTAAGTTCGCCGCTCACAAAAACCTTGGTGCCGCTCCAAAAGACTAATTTACATAACCAAATTGATTCACGTTAAATGCTTCTTACTTTAGGTGTGGTATGCGTGAATATAGCATGGTTCCGTACAAGAAACTTATGGATTTGTATCTAGACCGCTCAGAGAAAGGGCAGCTACAAGCTGTGCTTGATGATCCTAAACACAGGTAATGTACACGATGTACTACGGAATGCATGTGACTTAAGTAGAAGCACGCCTTACAAGTAACACATTGATACGACTTCTTTTCCATCTTCCGAGCAAGTGCAAATTCCAGTCATCTCGTTATTTTCCAACATCTTTGTTCCGGGGTTCAACTATACGATCAACGTCTATCCCAGGATCCCTCCTTTTACATGTTTGGTACAAAGCCTTGACTTTCTTGGAAATGTTTACTTTAACAAGGTCAAACGGGCGTCCACCATAGTGCAATACTACTAACACTTACTTGAGACGACTTGATTACTGTTCTCGGAAGCCCCTCGAATAACGATGAAATTCACGTATAAAACTTCGAAATTTCCAGCAACAATCCGATGAAAAAGAACGGATTAAAGTTTTATGACGAGCATTCGCCTTTTATGTTTAATTCCAATGCAGGTTTAATCGCAGCAGAGACTCAGCTATTGGTAGCACAACTGCGTTTGATGCAGAAGCCCGACTTCTGGATATCCTACAGGCAGACTTCTTGGCCTTGCTCGGCGCCTTTAAGTAAGCATAGTGCACTTCTGAACTGCGGCTCTATTAGGGTTCTGGTCTTCTGGTTGTTCTACTGCTTCATCAAAAGGTCTTCGGATCTTTTTACTAACAACTGTGTGTATTCTGATCAAAATTTGCATAATGAACATAATTTTCCTTTGACCTGGGGATTGAAAATCGAATAAAGCAATGATCCTCGCAAGTGCATGATCTGGGAAATACCCCTCTTAAAATTAGCATCGCTCCCAACTTGTGGCTTCGTGCATGTAGCTAATATAGTAGTAGTACCCAACTAGTATTTTAGAGGCACGATTCCAGGCTTCTTTTCTGTAATGGCTAAAATAAAAGCTCACTTGCGAGGATTTTTGCTTTGCTTGGCGTGTGTATTTGTGTTGTGGAACGTTTTATTGATCGTTCATTTGATTCATATCGATCTGACTGGTCCTAACTCTGCCCACCGTTATATTCCCTACAGACAACTTGACAGAGACAATTTAGGTCTAATAAAGCGATACCAGTTTAAAGAATTGCTTGAAACTCGGTTCAAGATGAAGGTTACCAATGATGAATTGTCATCAGTTTTGCGTCCGCTGTTGGAAGACACGAATCACGGCTTGATACCTTACGCCCAGTTTCTTGAGCTCTTTATTTCACCAAGGTGCAGTATGGTTATTTTCTAACTCGTTGTTACTGAAAAGCAAATTGAAATTCAGATTTTCCGGCTCACAGTTCCTTTGTACGAGCATGGTGTACTTCTTTGTCTTACTGCCTGTCAAACATGAGCAATGTTCTATTTAACAGGCAGAAATAACGTTGCCGTAACGTTTGAACTGACACGTAGTACATGTGATTTGTTTTTTTAGAACTTAAATACTTAGTTGAGCATTGTAGCCGAATGTTCCTGTCCATAAAGAGAGAATTTTGTTTTTCATGTATTTGTCTCATGCAGGGAAGATAAGGAGGTTTCCATCAATGTGAAAATACCGAGCTCCGCAACAGTCAGCGTCAAACCAGCCACTACACCCAAGGACTTAAACTCACCGAGAAGACCGCCATCAAGAAAGTCACAAGAAAGGAGCTCTCTAAAAACGGACACAGCCAAGAAAGAATCACAGCCCCGAAGTGTTCTTCAGGTTTGTTAGAAGACTATCGAGTTGTGACGCTCAGTATCGACGTCTTCATTGCAATTCAGTTTAACCCATTGTTTTAATGCTTTCACTCCTAAGGGCGACCAGAAATTTCGATGTTGTTTGATTTGATTCTCTCGGCTTAAGTTATAAATCACAGTATGGTAGACAGAGAATTGCTATTTAGGTCTTTGGAGAAAAGATAAATCACTTAGTACATTTTTACTTTTGTATTTTCCAAACGAGACAATACATTAAAAAAAAAGCTTCTTCCTTTTCACATCAACTGAGAAATCATTAAATTGCTAAACTTTTCGTGTTTCATTACTGATGAAAATAAAATTATCCTCATAGTTATTCTCCTTAATTCGGGAACTACTTACAGAGAAGTTCCAAGTAATTCAAAAGGTTGGTATGATCTTATTTCTTCTTTTGATTTCGAGCCGCCTGTCTTAGCCTTTCTGTAAACGGGGCGCGATAGAAGCGCAGAGCAAAACAGAAGGGAAGTTTGGGTTGAGTCCCTCTCACGCATCTTAACCCAGACCTCGCCCGCTCTGCGCTTCTGTTAAGCCCTTTTCGTTGCTAAATAAACTCCTTGAGAAGGCTTAATCATCAAGTGTAGGGTGAGGGATTTGTTTAATGTTTTTGTCTTCGTTTAGACTTTTCAGGGAATGGATCAACTTAAAAAAGGATATCTATCTAAAGGAATGTTTCTAAGATTGTTTGAAAGGTAACTAATTTTTTACCTTTTAATTTGATACACTTTTTTTTTACAATAGTAAAACTGGGGTAATAGTGGTCATGCTATGAAAGTGGTGTAAGCTTATTAAAGGTCTCGAGATCCAGGCAGAATCACCAAGAACAAGCTAAGGCGTCACTATTCAGTATATAATACTTTATCGAGGTTACTTAGGATGAAGTGGGTCAGTCGATCTGTTCTTAGCGATATGTGTCCTTAATATTTTTCATCTTTTGTTAACTCACTTTGGTGGAAATCAGACACATGCTTAGTAGTTTGATAAGAAGAGAATCCAGTTATGATTCTTCAATTTTTGACAGCCGAAAACGGTGTAGCTATTTTGGAATTTATTATTGACTTCATTTTTGTCTACTTTTTGTTTTCCTTTAATTCACCATTGAACTGTTACGTGACACGCAAACTTGGAGAGTTGACACTGCTTGCGTTAAGTTAGGGACATTAGGCAAACCACGACGGCGACGGCAACGAGAACGTGGAAAAACAAAAGATCTAACTGGCAGAACAATAGCTCAGCACGTGTGTTAAAAATTTTGTACATTTTGTTAGCCGTCCTATGCAAAACAATCACGTGAAATCACCAAAATTTACGTCGTCTGCGAACGGAAACCGCGACGGCAAATTATTTTCATTTTCATTTGGAACTCAACACTCCTATTATACGTTAGAACGTAGCTAGCAGAGCCGCGCAATCAAATTCAGTATACGTAAGCGTGCTCAAAATCCCGATAGTTCACGCTGATAGCGTGAACAAATCGCTTCGCCAGAAATTTCTTTTTTTTTTCGCGCGAGCGGCCATTGTTAGCGCGGGGAAAAATAATAAATTTTTGCGACAATAATGGATACAAACAGAAACTCGGCCTACTAGTTCCAAAACGAAGACAATTTTTCGACCGTTTCCCTTGGGCTAGAGTTCTTGAATGAGGCAGAAAAAGAGAAAAACAACGGAAAAGGAGACTCGACATCAGCGCCGTCACGATTCGCTTCAATTGATATTGTTTTCCGTTTTTCGCGTCGGATTTGATGCACAATTCCACCGGCTATGTTCTAAAACAATTGGTTCATGCTTTCAGCTGTGCACTATCGAGTTATGGAGCACGTGGGAAGTTTGGAGAGCACTCAAGAAGCTAGAGTTGCCCTCGGCCATTGCCTCGGGCAACTCTTACGCTTCTTTCGTGCTCTCCAAACTTACCGCGTGCTCCATAACTCGATAGTGCACGCTAAAGCATGAACCAATTGTTAATTATGCTCAAGTTGAGGTGTGTCGCCGTATGAGACGGTAGACACATGCAGCCGTTTTTGAAATTCTAATTAAAGGCAGAAATCCGTTTTTTAATCGAAGTCTTCCCTGGCGTTGCCGTCCTGACTGCTTAAGATCCCTGTTGACTCGACACACGGAAACTTTATCTCTTAACCCTTCAAATCCTTATAGTGACCAACGTCTAATTTCTCCTCACAATAATGCGGCTGAATCATTCACTAGGATCACGATAATAAAAGAAATGATCGCATGATCACCAACCTAAGAAGCTTTTATTGTTAAACAATTTCACCTTTTCGGTACCAAAGGAAATGTATAGAGAACAGTATGGAGAATATCAATACTGATGTCAGGGTGTAAAGGGTCAACGTGTGATCGCTTGACATTTCAGATACGAACTCAAGTTCACTTCACCGGAAGTCGATTTACTTTGGTTCAAACTTCCTGTTGAGGAGGATGGCACGGTCAGCTTTGCGCATTTAGTAGAGTTTAGCTTCCTGAACTTCAACGTGACTACAGCTGCAAAGGAATCAGGCCAGACTGGATCAGGCGAGTTTATTTTTAGTTTCAAGGGAAAACCTTACTCGAAACAGCATTTTGAAGATTAGCGACTGCGCCTTTGTTTTTTGGTTTACGATGCTCAATCCATCCAAAGTAGATGGAGATAAAGATTACTTTCCAGTTGTTAAAACAATTATTTTTTGCACTCATACTCGCCATCGTGAAAATTTTAGTAAGCGAACGCAGTTTTAAACCTACATTCGTCCAGCTACGAGTTCAGAACATGACTTTCTCTTGTCGGAGCGATTGGTTACCTCATTTCATGCCTCATGTACAGCCTTTAAAAAGGAAAGATATGAACAGGTAATTACCAAACACGATTATCCTTGTAGGCTGCCTTTCGCGTGTTCTTCAAGACTACGCCAAATCACTATCACACAATCGGTTGGAATCTTTGACTGAGGAAAAAGAGGGAGACAACGGTGACTCCCTTCCCACTCCACCCTCCGTTGTTCCACACGAAGAAGATGCAGAATCCCCAACGGAAGACAAGACTCTTCCGCCCTTAAAGTCTCAAAATAAACTGTCTGTGGAGGCAATTTTAAAGAACATAAAACAACAGGTACTGTAACTGTTAAACAAGCTTTTATTCATTAATCTATTTAAAGGGAAACATGCTACATGTAAGCAAATCGTGAAATGTAAAGATATTGATACTGAAGATCTCGAAAACAGCTTGCATGGGTTTAATTGTCCAATAATCAACATATAGAGAACACAAATTAGCAAGAATGGGTGGAATGTATAAAAATATCGCTCCTTAGGGGGTCAGTATACTGTAAAATTCTTAAAAGTAGCTGTTTCTTCAATAACCGTTGCAATGCTCAGAGCTGCGACTGATCCAGTTGCTATGACGAGTTGAAAAAGAAAGAACTGTTTTTAGACGATTGTGATAGTTTGGACACTTAAATCCGAATTTGGACACTTCCGTTCGATTTGGAAGGCTTTCATTCGACTGTGGAAACTTCCGCCCGATTGCAGACGTCGACAGGCAATCTTGAATCCTTCAGTTCAATTTGTCAACCCATATGCTGTTTTGTATGTAGGTTTGCTCTCAGTGGAGTGAAATGAGGAACGCCTTCATTGCAGTGGAAGAGGAAGGCAGTGCTGCGCTGGAATTCGATGATTTTAAGGTATTATATTTATGTTTCTGACTCCATCCTTGACCCAACAGTTTTCGAGTATTTACATCTGTTGTTCGCGTTGCACTATTCTTATCAGAATCCGATGTCAATTAGTTTCAGACACATTTAACTTTTTGCCATTTGAGCGCCTCCCTAGAATAAGGGCTGCATTTTAGGCGCAGAAAAATTGAATAAACGCTGCGGCGCTCAATAGAGTGAGTACGGCACTAGCCTTTGAAACTAATATCAAATGGTTTATTGGTAGGGTGTTATGAAACGATTTTGCAAGGATATGACAGACGAGGAATGTTTGAGCCTTTGTTTGAAGTTTGATAGGGGAAAAAACTCTCGGTGAGAACCATGTAACTGGTTTTTTACTTTGCATGTAATTTCAATTTCTTTTAATCTTTTTAAATTCATTTTATTATCTTTTTTTTGTCACTGTGGACAGTTTTGATCGAGTGATCATTTTGAAATCATGTTTTCTTTTCTTTCTTTGAAGGGTTTGCTACCTTGAATTCCTGAAGACATTTCTTCCCACTATGCCTGTCAAGGTTGTCAAGGTTGACCAGCTCGGCCCAAGGGCACCGATTAACAGATATCTTACAAAGGTGAGTTGAAATTCCCAAGATAAGGCGGATTGGTAGGTGCTCGTATGAGGTTAGTGCACGTTGTACAGGTGCGTGTGATGAGGAAGACGTGCGAAAAATAATCGTAACTTCACGCGTGTTGCTTCAAATCACACGCTGCCAATCTGAGTGGGCTACGTTGGTTCTCTAGATACACGAGTCTCCTTATTGCTGCATATTACCCCATCTATCAGTTCTTAGAACTGAATGTAATACCGATGCAATATTTCGTTCTTGATGGTGCTCTCAATTCTCATTAGCAGTGCCATCAGACAATGTGTTTCTTTTGTGAGGAGAGGGTACAATTTTATCCCGTTGGGTATTCGAATTGCTGATGGGCACTCACATGGGGTTTACTCAGCTGTTTTGGACCTCAAACTTTGCTGATATCTGAAAAATCGCGATTGTTATAAATGAATTCTGATTCCTTGAGAAGAACAAACCCATCGCCTTTCGATTTACCGATTGGACGATCTGCTCTGCGAAATCTCCTAGAAATATCTGCCACTGATCGTCACTGAGTTGCAAGGAAATGGTGACGAGATAGGTCTACATGTGACTAGCGTCCAGTAGGAGGATCCAGTATGTGTGTGGCGAAAGGAGAAAGAGAGTGAGTAAACTAAGTTCCATCGTCGTCCCTGGACTAAAATGAGAGTGGATGTCTGGGAGAATATCCATCTATTCTGTGGCTGGTGTCTTTTATGCCTTAATGTTTTCTTTTTTTGTATGGTGCAATAACTGACCATTTTTTTCCATGCTATGTTTCTCCTTCTTCTACCTCTTGTAGGCGGCGTGGTTGGACAGGAAACGAGCACAAGAGGCGGTTGATGGAGTTGTTGATAAAATTCGGAACCAGGTGAGCAGTGTTGCATATGATAAGTCCCGTGGATCATGTTCGTTTTCTAGTTCACGACACATAAGACCCAAAGAGCTTCGAAGGTAGCTGTTTTCAGGTGGTAATATTTTTAGCTTGAACTTTTAGGCAGAGGAAAGTAGTTTTGTCTGCTTGTAAGTCATAAGAATGAAAATTTGTGAAATTATTTTCGAGTAAACTAAAGTTGACAAGGAGTCCTTCGGGTAAAGAGCACATTTCTGTCGAGCTTTTGAAGGGTGAAACAGCCCTCATTTAGAAGTGAGTTGTGTACCTATGTACATTTATTAAAGCTCCATCGTTAAGGCGGCATCATAAGCTAGTATTCTTAGGTGTTTTAGCTTTGTGTTATACGGCTGCCTTATGTAAGCCATGTTCACCCTTCTCTATGATTCACAATGGGACATTTACCAGCTTAATTACTTCTGCAGATGATTTCAGACTGGAAGGGACTGAGAAGAGCCTTCAGGAAGATGGATTCGCTGGGCGATGGCTTCGTCTCCGTTACTGACTTTAAATCTGCCATGAACAGGTTTAACTTTTCGTTAAATGAAGAAGATTTCTTTCATGTTTTCTCTGTGTTTGATGAAAACATGGAGGGAAGGGTCTCGTATGTTGAATTTATGCGGCGTTCATTGAGCGAGTAGAAAAGGACTCTTCGTTAGAGTAGACATGACCGCAAGTGTGAACAGTTTTACTTGGAATTTCCTTGGTCTGTTTTGCTTTTCTCTTCTTGTTGTTGTTTTTGTTCTTGTTTTAACAGTTTTTGTTTCTATTTTTTTGTGTTATTTAGTTTTGTTTTTTTTTGTTTTTTTTTTTTAGGGAAGGAGGGGGGACTTTATTTCTGACTTGTATTTCATTGATCAGTTTCTTCGGTTTTTGACCCGCATTGAAAATGTCTCAAAATGATTTTTTGGGCGTGTGACTAGACCACAAGTGGAATGGTCTAGTGATCTGAGTGATTGTAGCACAACAAAGTAGTTGTAACTGAAATCAGGCGCGGAATGAAATGTAATCTATCAGTATCATAAACTAGACAATCGTGTCAGTCAAAAAAGGTTATTCGTTATCAGGCGCGGGATGAAATGTGATCTATCAGTATCATAAACTATACAATCGTGTCAGTCAAAAAAGTTATCCGTCGCCAAGTGCGGCAAACGCTTTGTATATACGTCGCACTTATTAATATTCTTCAAATCACTTACCCAGTTGCGCAAACTAACTGTCGCGCAAGATATTGCTCATTGTACCTAATTGTAGGAGAATAGTTCAGCGTTTAGTGTGAATAATCCAGTTCATTTTTACTACAAGATGAAGCATTTGTGTGGGGTTGCAAAATAGGGAAGATGAATTTTAATGTTCGTCTAGATATGCCTACGCACTGTTAACTTTTCCCTCTTACTCCTTTGTACACTGGCCACGCAAGCTGGGCTGTGACATTTTTCATCGTTATTTTTCGTATTGTATATTTTATTCTACTAATTTATTTCCACGTTGTAATTATTGCATTAAACTTGCTCCTGACACCATAAGTTTAAAGTTGGTAGTTAGTTTCCTGTGTCTAATGGATCTGCTTCGTGTTGGTCAAGCATAGCATCTTACACTGATATTATTCTGGTCTTTTTCACGCATATTACGATTTTGGGAGATGTGGGCACTAGAACACGCAAATTTACCTCTTTAGAAAATCACTGTGCCTCAGTATTGCTTTGTTATTGGTAAACAGTTTCATGCCTGTGACCGAAGCATAGCACGAGAGAAAAGAAAGTAACTCTTGCTGTTTAGTGGCGCATTTTGAGAGGTAGAGGGCACGGAATGCGTCTTCATCGAGTACTTGGTCGGTTGTTTTCGGCTGATTTCGCATTCCGGATCTTTGTTATTGTGTTGTGTTTTTTGTCTTTGATTTTGCAACAATAAAGGATTTGAAACTAAATAAAATTTTAGATAGTTTCCCTTGTTTTAAAGAAGGAACTACGGTCTTGTGTTCTCTTTCTGAAATTAGTGTCAAGCTTGTTACTTTATGGAATTACTTGAAATGAAATTTTAACGTAATTTTTATTTCATCTTTCCGGTGACTAACTAGTTATATCAATTGCTAGTTCCTCAAATAAATAAGAAGGGAATTTCCCATGCAAACTAAACGGAAACTTAATCTGTGCTGATGGCGCTTTCATGTTCACAACTGTTTTCTTGCGTAAGTGAATTGGCTATTGTCCCTTAGAAGCCCCCAGAATCTCCGTTCTTTTGGCATTATCTAGTGGACAGTAGTGGCCGATTTCCGAGTTTGGATACTAGTAGCCGATTTGGGATTTTGGATACTAGTAGCCGATTTGGGATTTTGGACACTAGTGGTCGATTCAGGACACTAGAGGTCGATTTGGGATTTTGAACACCAGTGGCCGATATCCGATTTCGGACACTTGGCGCCGGGATTTCCGATTTATAACTTTAAAGGCCGATCTGAGACTTTGGACACTGGTGGCCGATTTTTGATTTGAAACACTTGTTGCCGAGTTTGAATTTTGCATACAAGTGGCCGATTTGGGATTTTGGACGCTAGTGGCCGATTTCCGATTTTGGACATTGATGGCGGATTTCCGATTTTCAGTTGGACACTGGTGGCCGATTTTTGATTTGAAACATTTGTTGCTGAGTTTGAATTATGCCAACTAGTGGCCGATTTTGGATTTTGGACACTAGTGACCGATTTGGGATCTTGACACTTATGGCCGATTTTGGATTTGGACACTAGTGGATGCGGAATGTAGCAGCCAGTAGTCATATGCAGTCTGAAGTGCTTATTTATGTAATTATGTAACAGAAGTTTCATTAAAGTACTATTTGTGACGATGGCGACGACTTGGACGAGGACATGGCAAAACAAAGGATCTATTGGACGGAAAAAAAGAAAAGACAGAAAAAAGTATCGTACATTTCTTAGATGTCATCTGCAAAACAACAACATGGAATCACCAAAATTTCAGTGGTTTAAAAATGGGAACCCGGTGGTAAATACATCGTGCAATTATTCGCAAAAAATCTACCTGAAAATATGGATTCATTTTTCGATCTACGTCTTCCTCGGCGTTGCTGTGCAAACACCTTAAAGTCTTCATTGAAAGAACAAGGAAACGCAAACAAAGGACACTGACGTCAAATACTCTTCCCCGATGACTAACATAATGCAAATCTCTGATGCTCACACTGTTTGCGTGACTACAAACTTATTAGCATATCTACGAGTAGGAATTTATTGATAGAGTTTTGAATAGCAAACTCGGCCTTCGATTGCTTCAGCTTCCTTTAAACCTTTCTTCTGAATCTACTAGTGGTAGAAAGGTCAGGGTCTGCAAAAACCAACGTGGAATCTCTCAAGGGTTAACCATTTGCCCAATGCGTCGCCTTACTTTATTTTACGCCATTATATAAACGGAGTGATTCAGGTTATTTACGACACCATAAGACAAATGTTACCTCGTGCCGGTTTGCGTATGTATCAACACCATGAAATTTTCTCGATAACTTCGTCTGGTTGTGTGAATTACAATCCATTGAAATGAAGGTGAGTTCAATTTCACTCTGGTCTACACTCTTTCAAACAAATTAAACCTGCTTGAAATTTGTAAATAATAGTTAAATTAGAAATAGAAATTACATTCGACCAAGTGAGATTTTATGGATGTTGAGCACCAAATATTCCTGACTTTCATTACTCTCCCGTGGAAGACTTGACTTTTCCTTGTATTTGATGCTACTCTTAACTTTGATATCAAGTATGTTCCCTAGTTTTTTTAAATTTTTTCTTTTTGAAATGCCATAATTTGAGTTAGAAAGGCGTCGACTTGAACACAGCATATTAATCATTAACCTCGTTCTTTGAATCGGAAATAGTGGGGAGACGGGGGTGACTAATTATAACGATTTCGAAAGTATTTTGCAAAGCTTCAAGTCAACGGCGAAGTCAGCAAGCGCTCTTCTAGCAACGTTCATCGTGTTCAACATATATCTGCTTTTAGCTTTGCCGGCAATCAGGAAAATTAAAAAAGAAAAAACAGTTAACTGCGATTACATTCGATGAGACCAAGGCCTATTTCGTAGTGACGCTCTGTAGCATAATTGTTCAAGGATCTCGAAAATGGAAGGATACCTATCTCATTTTTCCCATTAGATTTTACATCCCTAGAGTCTCAGTTAAAAAATTCGCTTAACTTTCCCTGTCATATTTTGTTTTATAAAATAATGAACTTAGTACGCATCGTGTGATTGATCAATTCAGTTTCCAATTAAGCGGATTCTTTTCAAGTTTCAGGTTATATAGCCCGGAAAAATATATGCTATTCCTTAAATAGATTTAAAATACTCGGCTAAAAGTTTCATGTCAAACCTAACCTTTTCCTAGCCTTTAATTTCTGTTTTGCAATTCAGTATTCTGTAAAAATTCCAACCGACCTCCTTATAATTTTCTTTCGAAGGCAATCGAAATAAAACAACAACGAAAGTCCGCTCGAGTGTTCTTCAGCTCACCGTTTGGAGGACTGGAAGAGGAAAGAGAAGAATTAACGAAGAAATACTGGCCACAGTTGTCGTCCATGTGCAAGAGAGCCGGATACGAGTTTGTGCCTGTTGATATGAGATGGGGAATAACGTCCGAGATGTCATCCAATGCCGCCACCATTGAGATCTGCCTTCGTGAAATGGATCGGTCTGATATGATTGTGGGCTTCTTTGGTCAAGTAAGAAGAAATGCTTCGATAATATGTACAAGTCACAATTTGAGAAACTACAATTAGAATACATGCAGCTCCCTTCTCCCCCCCCCCCCCCCCC